GAAGGCTTTCCAAGCGCATGCTCCACCAGTAGACCTTTGGAAAATGGGAACTCAGTCTAGGCTCCCACTCCCAAATTCTGACTGGGTTGAGAATACCAAGGTATGCTGACACCACTTGTTCTTTATGTAACCTAAGTTCTTGTACTTTGGAAAACTTTTTTCATTAAAAAGAATCTACATTTTTGTTGCCTTGAGCTCTTTAAAAATCTAGTAGAAATGTTTTTTGGTCTTTTTTTCCTTTTTTTGATTGCATGGTAGCTGATACGTATATAACCAGATTGCAGCCTTCTTGAAGATGAGACCTTTTTTTTCTTTTTTATACTTTGTGAATTTATCACATAGCTTCACACAACTATGATAATCCTGACACTTGTAAAAAACTTTATAAAGCTTATTGGTCTATGTTGTAACAGTGTTAGTTTTAAGTTATTTACCTCAAGCCTTTGAAGTTGATAGGACAGATGTGTTCTCCATGTTATGCTTGTCAGGGAAGTTTGGCTGGGTTTGGCCACACATTAGAAAGTGTCAAGAACAATAAATCAGATCTCCTTGACTCCATATTTAGAACCTTGCTTTTCAGGATTAGGATCTGCATGTTCATCATCTGTAAAATTGTTACCGTTCAGGACCTTCATAAAGATTTTTAAAGAGCACCCTTACCTCCATCTGGGTGGAGTCTCCCCTCAGCCAAATGGTGCCATGCAGTGACCAACCTACACAACCGTACATTCTTGCCAGTTTAACAGCATAGACATTTAATAGTCTCATTGGTAGAGAAGAATGTTGTTTAGGTTTGAGGGTTTTCCTGAAAATGAACCCATTGAGTCAGTGGAGTATTAGATTTCGTTGCTGCTTGTTTGTTGATGCTGATTTATTTCCCACAGGTATTAGTCACTGTACCTCTGGCTTTACTGCAGAAAGGTGCCATTCAGTTTAGCCCACCCCTGCTGGAGAAGAAGATGAAGGCTATCAATAGCTTAGGTGCAGGAATCATTGAAAAGGTAAGTGCAGTTTCTTTAGCATCATAACTGAAGAGATTAATGTCGTATGAAAAGAGTTTCTTCACTTCAGATATTGTAGTAGGTGATTTCTCAATCCAAATAAAACTTGTGATACCTTTCTCATTGGAAGAATTGTTTGTTAAGAATACACACATTATATCCCAGTAAAAGGAGAGCTAACTGAAGTTTCTGAGTTGTGATGTTAAGAGAGTAGATCTTGCCACTTAAAATTTGAATTTGACATCAAACTCAACTCACTGCCATTCAGTAGTAACCAACTCATAGCCGACCTTCCAGTGGGTTTTTGGAGGCCGTGAGTTACATAGGAGAAGATTGCCCATTTTTCTCTCATGGAAAGGCTAGTAGATTCAGCCACCAGAGAGGTGAGACATGCAGCTCCCTATAGACTGCCACTCACAGTTTGGGGGGTTTTCTTCAGCTTTCTGTGTCTCCACTTCACTCACTGACTGCCATGAGGAGTCAGTGTTTTACTTCCTCTGCTTTTAACATTTCCCTTAACAGCATCTACTAGTGCTGCCCTTTATACTGGAAAGCTTATGTTGTTACTGGTGTTTGCTGTTGAATTGGAACCAACCCACAGCTGACCCTTCAGCGTGCTTTCAGAGATGGTTAATCACATGGGAGGAAACTGCCCATCCATCTCCTGTCTTTAGAATTGCAGGCCAGCTTCTTTCTACTAGGCCACCAGATAACCCTGAGAAAGCTTCTGAGTAGTTAGCAGTGTTATGTTTCAACAGCTTACCAGCTTCAGGACCAAGTCTCAGACATGCGTTACACCTTTCATTAGCTAGTGGGTTGTAATTGAATCCTGCTTTTATCCAGAGTTCTGGGATTAAAAAGAAAAGGCCTGGTGGTCACCAGAAAAAGGTGAGGAGAATGGAAAGGGCATATCAAGGGTTGAGTATAACTGATAGGATTTAGAGTAAGCCTCTGGTTGCTGCTTCGAGATGGTGCATGTCTTTTAAACAACGTCTTACTTGCTTTTGCTTACTTTGCAGATTGGCTTGCAATTTCCATATAGATTTTGGGACAACAAAGTTCAAGGGGCTGACTTTTTTGGTCATGTTACTCCTGATGTCAGCAAGCGAGGGCTTTTTGCTGTGTTCTATGACATGGATCCCCAGGTAAGGTCAGTGGTGAGATGTGGCATGAATTCCCCGTGTTACAAGGGAGCATTTGTCTGGGAATTTCCAGAGTATCAGGCTTAAGAACAAGTGAAAATGAGGGAGATTCCTCACATATATTTATATGGACTCCTCAAATATGGTAGTAATGAAGACTAGAAAAGTTTCCCCCTGGGAAGGGAACCTAATAGTTCCCACATAATTCTTGATACTAATATTGCTCTTTCAGAAATAAAGTTGATGTGGTAAAAAAGTGTCATTTCAAACTGATAGGGGGAATTTCTCCAAGGTAACGTAAGTGGCAGAGCAATAATATGAATTGTACTTAAAACTCCCCCTGTAACGGACCTCTAGTGAGCTGTTTATCATCCAGTCTGTCATTTTAGCTAAAAGATGCCCTTCGGGAGTACTTTCAGTTGGGGTTTATGAAGCATTTTCAGGACTACATCCTTCTAGTCAGGTCAGTAAGTCTTGTCTTTTTAAAAATTTTAGTTCTATTTCACATTTTTCTCCCATTTTATCAAGATTTCATTGTTATATCTGAGTGGTCCTCAGTGGTGAGTGATTTTTGTATTTTATCTGCAGCTAGCCCTTCCCAACCTCTTTTTGCCTGTAAAACAAGTGCTTGTAGGTGAAAAACTGAGGGAACCCTTAAGTGGGTTCTTGAGTGTTGTCAGAGTGAAATAAGAAAATACTCAGATGAGCAATGAGTATGTATTAGAAAAAAGCCGTGGTGATAGAACAAGGATAAGGGAAAATGGAAAACAAATGAACTGTGTTGCAGGAGTGAGCTGTTTAAAAAATGTGCTGTGTACTGAAAGAAAATGCAAAATGCTTTTGCCTTTTGTGTCTCCAGAAGCAGCAAAGCGTGCTGATGTCGGTGATTGCTGGCGAGGCCGTGGAGGTCATGAAGAACCTGGAAGACATGCAGGTGGTGCAGCAGTGCATGGCGGTCCTCCGGGAGCTGTTCAAGGAGCAGGTCAGAGGCCTCCCCTGGGGCAGGAGGAAATTGGCCTACTTGCTGTAGGAGAGAATCATGGACTCCCCATAATCTGGCATTACTAGGACCTGAGGGGATGGTGGCAGCAGGCCGCTTTATCCTTTCTTCTGGAGCCCCTGGGTGATGAAGATTGCTGATGCTCTTGGCTGCCACCCAAACAGATGGAGGTTTGAGCACATCCACATGCATCTGAATGCACTTCTGAAAAATCAGTCCTCGAAAGCTCCCAACAATGTATATGAATTGTTGACTAAAAAACCAGTTTGCTCTCTAAACTTTCACAAGATTATAACAAAATGTTAAAAGAATTTGGAAGTGAGCTCTGAAGCATGTGGCATCACCATGAGTCAGACCAGAGGTGATGGCTATTGATTATTTCCATATTACATGTATAGGCTCTGTGCTTCCTTGTACACTGTAGGCTTCCTCCTTTTCCTTCTCATACCAAAGATTCTCCTCACACTTTGTTTTTATTTTTTTAAATTTTTATTATTATTATTAATTTTAATGAAAGTTTACA